ACCTGTCAGAGGGTCCCCCGGTTTTACCTGTTTGCTATCGGATTTCAAAATTCAGCCTTTTAATTTCTTTAAAAATTTATTTCTTTTCACGGTCTCATGTCTTTCGCTGTCTAAAGGATTTCTTATCGATGCCCTAAATTATTTGTGAAGTGATCATCAGTGCACAGACGCACTGTTCATGTGAGTAAGAAAAAAAGCAAGTCAGACGAGGGACGGTCGGACAACGTACCACCTGTAGGTGTCAACTCAATGCTCTTCTTATCGTGTTCAAGGCGTTTCTTCAGATCCTCGCAAAGAGACATCAGGTACTCGCGGATACGGCGTTTTTCGGTCTGGAGAGAGCACGTAGATTGAAGCGATCACTGTACTTACCGCACAGTCCTGTTCGCACACCTTGATCTCGCGTTCATACTGACAGTGTACTTCGTCAATCTACAAAAACGATACAAAAGCCCCTTCTGGACCGAGTCTACAAGCGGTACCTTGTGTTCGTGGAGGATCTGAATTCGCAGTCGCTGATCCGAAAGCCAGTTCTCTGCCCTCTTAGAAGCCTTGCACAACTCTGCATGAAACAGGCTAGTTGAGAACCTTACTAGCTAGCTCTCTTACCTGGATGCACGCCCTCGTTGAGTTGCCTCAGTTGGTTAGTTAGATTGTGCAATTTTTCAAAGTACTCCCTAGGAAAAATCCCGTGAAACGAAACTAGCGGACAAACCTTTCGGAAACGTCGTCTTCATCGTCTTCCTCGTCATCTTCTTCCTCCTCTTCTTCTTCATCTTCTTCCTCTTCTTTACATGACACTGCTAATTTCGGGGAGGGGGGAGGGGGGAATTGGTTAGAGGAAGAGACTGGACTTACTCTCCTCGTTGTCACACTCCCGACTGCTGTAACCGTTTAAACGGTGGGATGATTTGATCGGCATTTACTGAAGAAAAAACCGCGAAAAATTGAGTAGGTAAAGTAGCAAGATGAGAAATAGTTGGATGCAAAGTGAACAGTCAGGAGTATCAATGTGGGCACCGCTCGAGATTAAGGGTTTTCAGCTTTAAAAATTCCCCCGGGCGAGGCCGCTGCCAAGTGGACAAAGTAAGGATAACAGTATCGCCTGACTAGAATGTTGTTTGCTGGTTTTTTTTTCAAGCCATAAAAAGTACCTATGACTGCGAAACAACATCTTCATCGCTAAGAACCTTCACGTGTACCGTGCATCCGCCAGGTGAGGCTTTTACAATTGTGAATGCTGGGCTGTGCACGTGAAATACGAACGAAAAATGGAGATATTTGATCACCACTACCTGAGGAACATTCTTCGAGGGAAGTAAATGGACTTTGTCTCAAGTGAGGCATTTCGCACACTGCAACAGTATCGCGAGGATATGCAGTAGCCGCCGAAGACCATGCAACGCTAATTATGAAATTTGCCTGG